ATGACTTAGACACTAGTCTCGGCTCAAAAGGGAGAACTTGCCACACAAACAAATAAGCCTGAGAGGGAGAGAAGGAAAGAGCGCTGTTTCTGAAATGCTGGCATGCTGGGATGCTCAACCCTAGAGTCATCTGCAAAGATGTTTAAAAATCTCAATGATGTGGACTCAGCGAGGAAAAACAATCTGCAACCCACCTGGTAGAAAGACTGAAACAACTCCAGTACATTGTCCTCTGATTTCAACGTGTGTACCATGGCACCTGCGAACCCAGACAGTAACATATGTACGATAGATAGATGATTGCTAGCTAGCTAGATGATAGAGAGAGATAGATAGATAGATAGATAGATAGATAGATAGATAGATAGATAGATAGATAGATAGATAGATAGATAGATAGGTGGGTGGGTGGGTGGGTGGGTGGATGGATGGATGGATGGATGGATAGATAGATAGATAGATAGATAGATAGATAGATAGATAGATAGATAGATAGATAGATAGATAGATATGAAGGTAATAACAAAACATGCTAACATGCCTAGCAGTCCATGTTGTCATATGCCTTTAGCTGTTTAACTCAGGTAACTACGGAGGATTGTGACTTTTCAGGACAATCTGGGTTATGCAGTGAAACACTGTCTTAAGACAAAGAAAAACTGAGCAGCTAATTAGCCAACTGATGCCTAGCCCCATTCTGCATGAGTTAAATAATAATCTTTCAGTTTGGAGACTAAGCCCTAGTATATGCAGTGTGTATGTTTAAAGATGATCCAGGTGGGCCCCTGAGGTAACTCACTAGGGAAGAGTGCCTGGTGTACATGCCTGATGGCCAGAATTTGTTTCCTAGAAACCATGGTCTAAGGAAAGAACCATTTCCAAAAGTTGTTATTTGACCTCCACATGGGTATGATGGCACAGGCTTGCCCACACTCACACACATACGAATCATGTACACAACAATAATTTTTGAGACAGTGCCTCATTGGGTAGCTTTGGTGTTTTTGGAAGTCACTATGTAGAACAGGCTGACTTGAAACTCACAGAGATTCACCTGCCTCTGCTTCCTGAATTCTGGGATTAAAGTGGTACCACTATGGCCAACAAATGATAATTATTAAAATTTTTTATTTAAAAGTTTTTTTTTTAATTTTACATACCAACCACAGTTCCCCTCCTTCCCTTTCTCCCACTCCTCTCACAATCTCCCATCCAAACCCCCATCCAGTCTTCAGAGAGGGTAAGGCCTCCCATGGGGAGTCTATAAAGTCTGGCTTAATCAAGTTGAGGCAGGACCGAGCCCCTCCCCCCTGTATTAAAGCTGAGCAAGGTATCCCTATATAGGGCATGGGCTCCAAAAAGCCATTTCAAGCACTAGGCATAAATCCTGGTCCCACTGCCAGTGGCCCCACAAACTGCCCAAGCTACACAGCACTCACCCACATTTAGAGGGCCTAGTTCAGTCCTATGCAGGTTCCCCAGCTGTCAGTCAGTGGGCTTCCACTAGCTCGTGTCAGCTGTTTCTGTAGGTGTCCCCATTATGGTCTATGACACCTTTGCTCATATTATCACTCTTCCCTCTCTCTGAGTGGACTCTGGGAGCTTGGCCCAGTGCTTAGCTGTGGGTCTCTGAATCTGCTTCCATCAGTTAACTGGATGAAGGTTTGGTTCTATGATGACAATTAGGGTGGTCATCAATCTATTTACTGGGGAAGGCCAGTTTAGGCACCCTCTCCACTTTTGCTAGGAGTCTTAGCTGGGGTCATCCTTATGGATTCCTTGGAGCTTCCTAGAACCAGATTTCTCCCTAACCCCATATGGCTCCCTCTATCTGGATATCTTCCTCTGTCTGTCTGTCTGTCTGTCTGTCTGTCTGTCTGTCTGTCTCTCTCTCTCTGTTCCTCCCTCAACTCAACCATTCCATTCCTTCACATTCTCATCCTGCCTCTCTTTCAACCCTCCCTCCCCCAGTTTACTCTGGAGATCCTATCTATTTCCCCTTCCTAGGGGCATTCTTGCATGTCTCTCTTCTTGCGATCCTCCTTGTTACCTAGTGTCTGAGGGGTTGTGGATTGTAGCCTGGTTATTCTTTTCTTTTTTTAAAAAATATTTATTTATTATGCGTACAATATTCTGTCTGTGTGTATGTCTGCAGGCCAGAAGAGGGCACCAGACCTCATTACAGATGGTTGTGAGCCATCATGTGGTTGCCAGGAATTGAACTCAGGACCTTTGGAAGAGCAGGCAATGCTCTTAACCACTTAGCCATCTCTCCAGCCCCCTGGTTAATCTTTTCTTTACATCTAATATCCACTTAGTGAGTACCTACTGTGTTTGTCTTTCTAGATCTGGCTTATCTCACCCAATGTTTTTTTTCTAGTTCCATCCATTCACCTTCAACACTCTTAGCCATCAGGGAAATGCAAATTAAAATGACTCTGAGATACCATCTTACACCTGTCAGAATGGCTAAGATCAAAAACCCTGATGACAGCTTATGTTGCAGAGGATGTAGAATAAAGTGTAAATGTGTACAGCCGCTCTGGAATTCAGAATGGCAGTTTCTCAGAAAATTGGTAATCAATCTATCTCAAGACTCAGCAATACCATTCTTGGGTACACCCAAAGTGTGTACTTTCATACCACAAGGACTTTTGCTCAACTATGTTTATAGTAACATTATTTGTAGTAGCCAGAACCTGGAAACAACCTAGATGCCTCTCAACAAAAGAGTGGATAAAGAAAATGTGGTACACTTTTACACACTCAGCAGTAAAAAATCATGACACCTCGAAATTTGCAGGCAAAGGAACAATAATAAAATTTTAAAAATAAGACTCCCTCAATGTCCATTCAGGATTGAAAATGGTTTCCCTTTTGTAGCTTTCCTCGAACTTTCTTTACAATAAGAATCCCAGAAACAGTTACTAAATGTAGCGGTTCTGTGACCACATGTAACGAATTGAACTCACTGCACAAGAGTCTGGAGTATTATACATCTTGCAAGTTTCTCCGGATTGCCTCTTTCATTTTGCCTTTAGATAAAGGAGAATTCATTTGAGAATATAGCCAGCAAAATAAACATTCAGATCAGTGACAGAAGTATTTATTTACCCTGCATTCACAAGAACCCGAGGTCAATCCCCAGAACTACGAAACAAAACATGAACTGGTCAGTTTATTGAATATAAAATAATACACGTGTGCAGAATACTTCTCATCCTGATCCTAAAGTCTTCTCTTTAGTCCCTTTGGAGAATATTGTCTTTGCTTTATTCCATGCTTACACACAAGACAAATTTTTGAAATGTTTTTAAATTTATTCTTTCATAATTTCAGACAATAAACTTGATCATATTCATTCTGTCCCCCAATTCTTCCTCCTTCATCTCCCATCTCCTCCCTACCCATCCAACACCATGGGTTTTCTCTCTCTCTCTCTCTCTCTCTCTCTCTCTCTCTTTCTTTCTCTCTCTCTCAAACCCACCGAGTTCATTGTGTAGTGGCAGAATATTAATATCCCTGGGGGTGGGAGCTTTGCTGGAGTGTGGATGATGTTTCAGCTGTCACATCATTCAAAAAAACCAATACTGGTTCTTCTTATCCTGTTAGCAATCAAATCCTGATACCTCCTTAGCTATGGAGCAAGTGGCTCTTCATGCCCACCTCTCATAGGAGAGGGATTTTATTTATTTATTTATTTATTTATTTATTTATTTATTTATTTATTTATTAAGATTTATTTATTTATTAAGCATACAATGTACTGCCGGCAAGGAAGGCACCAGGTCTCATTACAGATGGTTGTGAGCCACCATGTGGTTGCTGGGAATTGAACTCAGGACCTCTGGAAGAGCAGCCAGTGCTCTTACCCTCTGAGCCATCTCTCCAGCCACGAGAGGGATTTTTTTAAAAAACTATTTGTTTTTGTCTTTCATCAAAGGGAAACTTCGAGCTCCTCTTCTTGTCTTATTGCCCCTGCATTTTCATAGGGCATAATCGCATTTCTCTGTAAAGCATGCCTGGAAGTCCTGTCTGTGAGAAAGCCTGCAAATCTTTGCGTTCCTTTTCAATTCTGCATAATGTTCTGTGCTACAGATAAGTAATAGTTCATTTGTCCCCCAGTGATGGGCTCTTACTCAGGCCACTTCTTGATTTCCTGTGTGAGGGTCTGAGCTGCAGACCCCACAGTGACACGGGGTTGAAGTCCATGTGCTTTGGTGTCTACAGCACAGATCCAGTCTGGAAAAGGGAGATAAGGGAGATACAAATTGTTCTAGGCGCTCAGCAGGCCTCGTCGTTAGCTGAGGTCAATGACAGCTCAGAGGTGGAGAAGCTGAAAGTGTAGGGCAGGGTAGGATTCTGGCTGCTCCCAAGCCCCCCTTAGTACAGGTGCAGTTTCAGGATCCAGAGCTGGTAGAGGTTGTCAGCCCCATGCTAATGTCAGTTCCCTCCGGCAAGGATGTTGCCCTTGTGTCTGCAGGGTCTAGTTCCCAGATAGCAGCATCTTGGGTGCCTCTAGACAAATTTCAGTCCTAGTACCACCAGCATCCAGCTGTGGGAAGAGATGTTTGTTGGTAGGAGGTGGAAACACAGCTGGGCCCAAAGAAGGAGAGCAGGAGAAGTCTCCAGAAGGCTCTCCTCGCTCACTGGTTGGAGTCTCCAGGTCAGGGGAGGATACATTCCCATCCAGGACACCACTATTCCTCCACTGGGTGGCTTGATTAGAACTGGAACACTCCAATGCCCTGGGGAAGCTTTCCTAGATCTCCTAAGAGGCCTTGCTGGTCTGAACAACTGTGACTTAACTCAAGCAGTCCGAGTCCTAGGAGAGGGACCTGTGGCCACATTGTGGTACCACTGGAGCATCCCTGGTTTCTCTTTGATATTCACATTCTTGGGTTCTGAAACCACACGTAGACTCGTGGATCCAGAATCTGGACCAGTTAGCCACTTCTGTGATCAGGATATCCATTCTTTTCAAAGGCCTAAATACGAACCTGGTATTGGTGTTTGTCAAACTTGGTCCTCATCTCGTCTCCAGGAGTTGTGACAGAAGCCATGACTGCAGCTGATTAAGCGTCTCACTAGAATCAAATTGATTCTTGGTCTGCCACTTTTTGAAGTAATATTTTCCTGCAGAAAGGGCTTTAAAACTTGAAGGGCCCAGCTGTGGTCATGGCTCAGTATAACTTCAGCATTAGGAAGCCAAGGCAGAAAGATCATGAATTAGGGCAAGCCTAGGCAGCATTTGAAGCCAGACTGAGTTACAGAGATCTTATCTCAAAATAATCAAAGAAATAGACTGGATGTGGTAGAGCAGGCCCTCAATTCTATTACTTGGGTGGCTGAGGCAGGAGAACTGTTTTGGTTTCCAGGCCAGCCTTGGCTACAGAGCAAGACCTTATCCAAAATCAGAAATAAAATAACTGACCCTTCCCTGACAAACAAAACTCACAAAGGAACAATGACAAGGTGCTCTTCTTCTGCGGAGGGATTCTCGTCTTCTCTCAGGCAACTCACGTTTCTTCATACAGTTCTGAGGGAAGTTTATAAATTTGACTTGGATGAGTGGATTCTGCAACTGACTCCTTAGCTCAAGTGTTCAGAGAGCCCATGTCAGAGGACCAGAAAGAACCAGTTTTTCTTGATTTGCTCACTTTGCAATTGGGATAAAAGCTTTGTAAGTAGAGTATTATTTCCTTATTTATTGTAAGAAGGCGAATAGGTACAAGGAGGGGTTTGAGGGACATTAGCGTGGAATGCAGACTAGAAAGTAGTTTGTGAGCCATCACAGTGCAGAAGTAAAACTTCCCTGAAGAAAATGGACCCTTAATTTCACTTGCTCTCTTTCTCTTTTTTAATAGAATATTCCATTTATTTGTGATTGATTTTTTAATTTATTTATTTTTTCCATTAAAAAATTTACACTTCCTCCCCTCCCCCCATTCCCCTCCTGCTCCCCACTCACCCTCCTCCCTCCCCCTCCCTCCTTAAGAGAGGGCAGGGAATCCTGCCAAGTGGGAAGTTCAAGTCCTCCCCCCAACACTTCCAGGCCTAGGAAGCTTTGCATTAAAATAGACTAGGGTCCCAGAAAGCCAGTACGGGCAGTAGAAACAAGTCCCAATGCCTTATCAATGGCTTCTCAGTCAGTCCCCATTGTCAGCCACATTCAACGAGTCCGGTTTGATCGCGTGCTCATTCAGTCCCAATCCAGCTGGATTTGATAAGCTCCCATTAGAACAGGCACACTGTCTCAGTGGGTGGACCAACTCCTCGTGGTCAGAGTGAGGACATACCATATTCATCTTTTTGGGTCTGGGTTACCTCACTCAGGATAGTGTTTTCTATTTCTATCCATTTGCATGCAAAATTCAAGATGTAATTTTTTTTTTTTTACCACTGAGTAGTACTCTAATGTGTATATATTCCACACTTTCTTTATCCATTCTTCCATTGAGGGGCATCTAGGTTGTTTCCAGGTTCTGGCTATTACAAATAATGCTGCTATGAACATAGCTCAACAAATGCTTTTGTAGTATGATTGGGCATCTCTTGGGTATATTCCCAAGAGTGATATTGCTGGATCCTGAGGTAGATTGATTCCAAATTTCCTGAGAAACTGCCATACTGATTTCCAAAGTGCTTGTACAAGTTTGCATTCCCACCAGCAATGGATTAGTGTTCCCCTTACATCACATCCTCTCCAGAATAGGTTAATCCCAGCACTCAGGAAGTAGAGACAGGTGGATCTCTGTGAGTGCAAGGCCAGCCTGGTCTATAAGAGCTAGCTAGTTCCAGGACAGTTAGAGCTGTTACATAGAGGAACCCTGCCTCAACTGCCCCTTGCCAAAAGCCGGGCAGTGGTGGCATATGCCTTTAGTCCTAGCACTTGGGAGGCAGAGACAGGCAGAACTCTCTAAATTCAAGGCCAGCCTGGTGTACAGAGCAAGTTTCAAGATAGGCTCTAAAACAACACATAGAAACCCTGTCTTGAAAAACAAAAAAACAAAAAAGGAATCCTAAACCCAATAGACACATCATACATGACTTTAATCCCAGAATATGAGAGACAGAAGAAGGATACTTTTTTGAAATTATCCTTTGAAAATTTCTGGACTGTCTAGTATACATACCACTGAGTTACAGATCAGCCAGGACTACATACTGAGACCCTATCTCAAATAAATAAATAAACAACCAAAACCAAATCAAACCAAAACCCAGTGATTTCTTGTGTGATATTTTGATTGTGTTCTGACAAATAAAGCTTGCTTCGAGTCAGAGGATGGAGCTAGCTACAGCTGCCTAAATTAACCATAGTGCTTTGGAGGACTGTCGACAGAATCAAGACAGGAAGTAGTAAGGAGGGTAGAGAGACCCAGGCCTGGGTGATCATTGGGTTGGTTCATCTCCTCGGATCTGCCCTCTGCCCTTGCAACCTTAACCCCATGAAAGCAAAATTTTAAAAGAAAAATTTAAAAGAAAAACCAAAAAAAAAAAACCCATACCAAAAAAACAAAAACCACATACCAAAAACAAAACAAAACAAAACAAAAAAACAACCACACAAAACAAAGCAAAAAAACCACCAAAAAACAAAAGAGAAGAATCTTTTCATGGAAGCTGTAATGTGGCCGATGAGTCACCCAGTTTACCCTTCAGTCCATTCATCTTTCCTTGCAAGTGTTCATTGCAGAGTCATTGGTGTGGCTCGAGGCCTCTGGTTTTTGCTATGCCACCTGTAATGGGCTCTCACTTGGACTCCTCTTAGCTATCCTGTTGTTGTCCTGTGTCATGGAAATCCACTGTTTTGGATCAGTAGGTTTGCTCCCTTCACATGCTCCAACAATTCATAGGTTTGGTGGGTGTTGGGGTGGGCCAGCTCATAGCCCTGGTTCCGGGCTTGGGTGGTCATTGGGTTGGTCAGCTGGCTACCTTTCCCTCATCATCACTGCCCAGACCAGCTCTCCATCACTGCTTTTGGATAGCTTATCTAATGAAGCCTACAGCAAGGAGCAGGGCCAATTCTGCTCTTGGGCCCTCAGGGTCTGCTCCCCTGAATTCTCAATCACAATCTAGTGTGCTGCCCCAGTGAGGTGCACACCTATGGTGAGTGTGGGGGCCAGCTCTTGTCTGAGGGGTAGAGCCAGCTCACCTGCTGCAGTAGTCAGTCAGGGACAGAGCCAGCCTTTCCAGAGCCAGTGAAGAGCAGGACCAGCTCAGCACAGCATGGTTCCAATGACCTTCGTACTAACACAGGCCATGGACATCACCACTGTCCCAGCTGCAGTAGGGCCATGGACCTAGACATGGCCCATGGTGGCAGAATGGCTGTGAATACCACCACAGCCCTGGTGTGCTTGTGGTTAGCACTTCTGAGTAGCATGGTCCTCGCAGCATGGCCTCCAGGCACCAACATGGTCCCAGGTAGATCAGACCCCATGCATCCGCAGAGCCCTTGGTGCCAACTGGAGCCGTGGACACCACTTCAGACCCCAGTTTCCACAGGGCCACAGACATACACACTGCCCTAGGCAGAGGCCCAGACATGGATCTTGGCACAGTCCTGGTCTGGATGATATCATGACCCCAGGAGACAGCCCTGCCGACCTGAATTGACCTGGCCCCAGAGGCAGCAGAACCCTCAGACACCAACATGGTCACACTTAGCAGCCCAGATACCTGGCCATATTCATGGCCCCTGGAAACAACATGGGACAGGGACATTGACACAGACCCTGGCCGTGACAAGACCGCAGACTCGTGTAGTCCTGGGCAGCAGCCCAGGCCAGGTTACCACCATGGCCCACTTGGCTGTGCAAGCCATTGGAATTGGCATGGATTCATGGATATGTGGACCTTGGAAGCCAACATGGTCCCAGGTGGCGGCGCAGACCTCAGGCTCCTCCTGTACATCTCCCAGCAACACCAGGAGCCACAGATAGCAACACAGGCTCCATCTGCTGCTCAGGTCACAGAACAAGCCCCGGCCCTTGGTCATAGCACCGACCCAGACATTTTGTTGTTGGGTGGCCAGTTGGCCATTCATTTCAGCTCATTCTTCACATACTCACCTCTCCAGATGCACCCATCTCCCCAGCGCACAAACCATTCTGCCTGTCCTGTTCTTCTACCTCCCTAACCTGCCGTCTCTCACCACAATGATGCCCTATGTCATGCTCCTACTGCCTGCCACAGCCACGGGGAATGGCCCGGAGTTGGGCCTTTCCATCTTCCTGTTCCTGAGCCTAGAAACCTTGGGAAGCAGCACTTGGTATGATGGTACCTGATCACTTGGTGCCACCTGTATCCTCCACCAATTCAGCCTTGGGTGGAGTCAATGGCTCCTTGTTGGTTGGGATCCCCCCCCCCCCGCCAATACTAAAAGCCTGGGAGGGCACCATTTGTGTCCTCCAACCAAAACTCAGGATTCCAAGGGTAGTTTGGACTACATGAGATCCCTTATCCAAAAATAGTAATTAATTAGTTAATTAATTAATTAATAAGTGACAAACTACATCAAACAAAACTAAAACAAAACCCTGAAAATCACAGAGTTCTTGAATGGTTTGTTATGCAGCATTTGGAAAGTGGTACTGCAAATTCTGGAATCTCTTCCTCTACTTTAATGGGTCTTTTCTGTTTCTACAAAACACATCTGATCACACTCTGTAGTAATAGGGGGCGGCGGGGCTGCGTTCCCAGCACCCCGGCCGCCTGCCAGGCTTATGCCCCGAAATAACAACACACAAACTGTATTCATTTAAACACTGCTTGGCCCATTCTCTTCTAGGCTAATTCTCACATATTAATTTAGCCCATTTCTAATCATCTGTGTATGGCACCCCAAGGTGCGTTTACCAGGAAGATTCTAGCCTATGTCCATCTTGGGTCAGAGCTTCATCCCGGGAGCGGGGCATGGCGTCTCTCTCAGGCGTCTGCTCCCGAGAGGGAGAGGAGAGCTGTCGAGACTGAGCTCACTTCCTCTTCCTCCCAGCGTTCTGTTCTGTTTACTCCTCCCACATATCTTCCAACCAATAAAATGGGCCAAGGCAGTTCC